ATTGACTGAACGTAGATTTTGGGTCCAGCAACCTTGCAGAACTCTCTTCATTTTTAATTTTTTTGTACACTTTTTGGCTTTTCTACATGGATAATCATATCATCTTCAAAATCTATGCCTTTTCCCCCTAATTCTTCAAATTTTTCTTTCATTCTTTGTATTTCTTGATTCTTTAGCTAAGATCTCCAGTCCAAAGTTGGGTAGAGTCATTGATAATGTCTTCCTACTGACTCTAAAGGAAATGCCTTCAACATTTTACTATTCAGTGTGTTGTTTAAGGTCGGTTTTCTGATACACCTTTTAGCAGGTTAAAAATTCCCTCTCTGTTTATATTTACTTGAGAGTTTTATTATCAATAATTAATGTTGAATTTATTGCACCAGAATTTCATGTGAATAAAATATCCTATATTCTTTGACTTTTTTCCTCAAAGATTAAGATGTAGCTTTTTCTATCTATTAATTATTTTCATATCTGGCCTTTATATTACCCTCTGGTTAATTTTCCAAAAATATTTCCAGTTGCATATGGCAGTTTAATGTTTTTTGCTTTCTAAAAAGTGATATCTCAATGAGTTTATGGGCACAGATTAGTTCTTCTTTAAAGTTGATACAATTTAGTGTTTTATGTTTGTAAATCTATATGTGTGAGTAAAACGCATGTACCCCCTACAAGTTCTGGCTCATAATATTGTTTGCTAGAGAGACCAATTTAAAAGTCAGAATTTTAAGTTAAGCTAGTAATGCCCTATTAATTTCAAATTCATGATAATTTAATAAAATTGAGCTGAGATCTTTGAATATTCAAAAGACCATTTTGGTTAAGACATTATCAGGCAATGGAAAGTGAGCTAGAGTAAAGGAAGCAGCCAATTACTTCTATTTTCTTTTGCCATAGTTATAAATGTCTCTCAGCTGCTGCATTGCTGGGGCTGTATATTAATAGCAGGTATTCCAAGACATGGGCATCCTTTTCTGAATTTTGCTTGTTGAGGGCAGAATCAATATCAGCTTCTTTGTGGCTGCTTCCTCATTAGAAACCCTATCTCTATCACCAAACTTTCTTAAAGAGCCAGATGACTGTGGAAGTTCATTGGAAAAACAAAACAGAAAACAAACAAAAAGCCGGAAGTGGATTTTATTTTTCATTCCACCCCTGCAAAAGGAAGAGAGAAACAATTAAATTTAAATCAAATCACTAGTTCAGTCTTAGGTCCTTCCTCCTCAGAGTTCAGGTCCAAATATTTTGGTGTGAAAAACAGAACCTTCTCAGACTCCTATTTCCTGACTGGTTTACTGCTCCAGTGTTATCACGTGGCTGATAATCTCCCAGTCATTTTTACTTGAGAGCAGGTTCTATCCATGTATATAAATTAGTGACCATGGGCATTAAGTCTTAAAAATTGCCTGGGTGGTAGAAAATATCTGTCTAAAAATATGGTCAAATCTTCATTGGCATAATTCCTAAGTGTCATGTAAAATTGATAAATATGGTATACAGTAAGTCCCCTACATACGAACGAGTTCCGTTCCAAGAGCACATTTGTAATTCCAGTTTGTAAGTCCAACACAGATAGCCTAGGTACCCAACTAACACAATCGGCTATATAGTACTGTACTGTAATAGGTTTATAATACTTTTCACACAAATAATACATAAAAAATACAAAAAATGAAACATTTTTAATCTTACACTACAGTACCTTGAAAAGTACGGTAGTATAGTACAACAGCTGGCATACATGGGTTGGCATCGAGTAAACAGGCGAGAAGAGTTACTGACTGGAGGAGGGAGAGGAGGTGGGAGATAGCAGAGCTGTAGGATTGGCAGCAATAGGAGATGGAGGGTAAGCTGCAATTTCGCTCACACCTGATGCTGATGGCACAGGTTCTGTTTCCTTGCTGGATTCAGTTATATCTACTCTCTTAAAAAATTGATCCAGTGATGTCTGGGTAGTAGCTTTTTTTTTTTTAGTCATAGATGACATCCTGGGCTTGAAATAAAGATACTGTACTACTGTACTCTATACCGTACTGTACTGTAAAGTACACAAAAGCACAACTTGAAGGTTCGTATGTAGGGGACTTACTGTGATATGGGATGAAACGTTCTAGATGTGTTGCAAAACTTTGATCCTTATTGAAATTTTTTTTAGGAAAAGAGGAAATAATCACTCATTAACCACTTTTTCTTTTTATAGAAGGTATAAAATGACACTTAAAGGAAATGGAATAGCCTGGACTCTGTTACAAGTTAATAAAATCTCTACAACCTCTACCTCTGGTATCAACTTAGGAACTATGTTCCATATAATTACCAGACTGATGACTAATTAACTCACCAGAGTTATCAGTTTGTCTTCCAAAGTATATTACTTTGTAAATGAACAGCTGAGTGTATTGAAAGAACTGTGTATATACCCTTGCTTCTCAGTAGAGAGCACTGTCAGGTCAATTGCCTGTGCAAGATCTCACCTAAGATGTGCGTATTCTAGGCCAGTTAAACAGTAACTGCTGGTGACACCAAGCAAGGTAGGGTATTGCCAAATCTGTAAACCTTGATTATTGCCATGCCATTGTCTGTTTTTCCTTAGAGTTTATACCTCTATTCCCAAATAACTTATTCTGGCAATCCATTTGCTTAAGAATGTTTATAGCATTCTTGATTATGGTACATTACATCAGTGTGGTTACTTTCTCATTTCTCATTGGGAGAAAACAGAATCAACGTCCAAGTGGCCATAAATACTACTTTTTCTCCTTAGTTTTCCAGCCTTTTGGAATGGTTATTTATCTGCGAACACATATCACATTAGCTGAAGTTATTTGTTTGGTTCCACAAGCTATAACGGACTCTCAACTTTTAAAGAGCAAGCACTTCTTCATGTTCATCTTTGTATCTCCAATTCCAATCATATAGATAGCATTCAGTAATTCTCTTCATACCTCACATACCTTGAAGTGCGCATTACAGTGTAAAACAATGCTTTTTAATTTTTGGTTTGCACCAGATAGTTACAGTTTAGGCCAGTGTTCTAGTACAACTATTATTTTTTTTAAATAAATTTATTTATTTAATTTATTTATTTTTTACTGTATTGGATCTTTGTTGCTGCACACGGGCTTTCTCTAGTTGTGGTGAGCGGGGGCTACTCTTCATTGTGGTGTGCGGGCTTCTCATTGTCGTGGCTTCTCTTGTTGCGGAACACAGGCTTTAGGTGTGCGGGCATCAGTAGTTGTGGTATGCAGGCTCAGTAGTTGTGGCTCGTGGGCTCTAGAGTGCAGGCTCAGTAATTGTGGTGCACGAGCTTACTTGTTCTGTTGGCATGTGGGATCTTCCCGGACCAGGCATAGAGCCTGTGTCCCCTGAATTGGCAGGGGGATTCTTAATCACTGTATCACCAGGGAAGTCCCTCTAGTACAATTATTAACAATGATTCCCTTCTTACTCAAAAGTGTCCCAATTTAGATGGTAAATTATATGGTCACACCATTTATGTATGTTTTTCTGCCACTTAATGGAGTTCCTTTATGGCAAAGGCCATTTTTGCATCCTCAGGATTTAGCTCAGCATCAAACATAGTGGACCCTCAATAAAGGTTTTCAAAACTGATTAGGTTAAAAAATCATGAAATATCATAAGTGATTTTCCACACATGAAAAATTTTTGAGAAAGAAGTAAAAAAGTATCTATATCATTCAGGGAGCTGGCAAGACACAGAGTGCACATTCAGATTGGGTGAGAGTTTAATAAATGGACTCTGTATAAAGAGGTGGGGAAAATGAGGGAAAGAATAAAGGTTAAAATAAAGGAAAGAATAAAAAACATAAAGGAAAAAATAAAAGTTATTCTGTGTAAAGATGTGAAAAAAAACGTAAGGGAAAGAATAATGGTGATTAATAAGGGAGGAGCAAGACATGACTCTCTAGGCTGATGTAGGAGAGGTGGAAACAGTTAAATTCAGGGAATAGGAAGATGCTTGGAGAAGGCTTCATTATAAGAGCTATGGTTTTCAGTTAGGGAATGCAGCCAGCCCGTGTTGATGCTGCTGACAGGAAACAAAGAGATTACATAACCTATTCTTACTCTTCTCCCTTTCTTCAATCTTTTATTGGCTAAATGCAAGGAGAAGCCAGAGGGCAAGGAAGCTTGTTGATATCCATTCATGTCAGCCTCTTGGAATATAGAACATGGTAGAGAAAGAAGAAAGTGAAAGTGGGCCTTTTGGGGGTACACATAAGACTAGGAGCAGAACTAGGAGGAGAAAATTAAATAATATTAGACATCTGTCATGAGATGGCTGGCCAGGGCTAGACTTCCCTGCATGAAGCAGTACCATCTGTGTGCAGCTAATACCTAGCAAGCAGTGACAATACATGTGTTGATAGATAATATCATTTGGTTTCTTCAGAGCTTTAAGAAATAAAAATAATATTCTGACTCTACATTTATTAATTCAGTGATTTTCCCTGTGGTCATCTCTGATTCATGAGCATGTAAAAACAGTAATCCAGGGGCTCCTAAATATGCCTTCTTTCAAAATGGAAATATTTTTATTTCTCTGATTGAAAAAATAATGTTTTTTAAAAGTGATGGAGAAATTTAAGAAAAATAGTAAGTAAAGAGCTATAATTCCACCATTCAGAGATAGTTTCCTTATGCATATATGTGCCTGCATATGTATGTATTTTATATTCATGTGGGCATATACACATTTGTAAGTTTTAAAAATATATTTCTTAGATTGACATATACACACTACTACATATAAAACAGATAACTAATAAGGACCTACTCTATAGCACAGGGACTACTTAATACTCCACAATGACCTATATGGGAAAAGAATCTAAAAGAGGGTTGATATATTTGTATGTATAATTGATTTACTTTGCTGTACAGCAAAGTAACACAACATTGTAAATCAACAATACTCCAATAAAAATTTTAAGAAATATATATTTCTTAAAATATATTGTATATATATATATATATAATAACATACTTTTAAAGGAATATTTCTGTGTAGATCTTATCCCCTTGTACCTAAGAAATAACTGAGGTTAAAATAGATTGCATGGCAGCTCCATGGGCAGATCTGAGGTTTAAACTAAGACATGTCTGATTTCAAGACAGTCATTGGCTCTTTCACTTTAAAATCTTATCTTCTGCAATAAGGGGTGTTCACAGAAGCACAAAATTTAATATCACCTTTTCAAAGTACCCATTTTGTGAATGGTGGGATTAGATGCTGTGGCTCAGTGATTAGTCAGTTTTGAGGTCTGCGATTGAGCTGGTAGGCACTTAAGATCAATCAAAAGACTACATATGTAGCAAATGTACCAAAGTTGCCTGAATAAATTGTCATGACTTGGAATACATCAGAAACTCTACAACTAGTATTTCCTCAGGAAAAGACATATAAAGCAAGCAAGCAAGAAAGAAAACCCACCCACATCCCCAAAATAAATAAATAAGTAGAACAACTTAAATTCTGAAATTTTCAAATAGAATTTTTAGGTTAGGTGCACTAAACATTTCCCTTCCATTTATTGTTCTATCAATTTCTCTTGTTTCTTTCTTTCTTTCTTTCTTTTTTTAATGCCAAGGAAGAATTACAGGGAGACCATATGAAATAACAGCAAATGTAAATAAAATAGCAGTGATTTATGTTTTAACAGGTGCAATAAGTTGATTAGAAAATTGTACTGGAAACTGCTTATTTGATAAAATATATATTTGAAATAACTGGTAAGGAGTTGATAATAAAGTTTTTTTTTTTAATATTCTAGCTATTGTACAATAGCTTTCACTTACGGCAAAAAAAGAAGAAAATCATGATATTAGTGCTGAGTTGTTCAATCTTGTACATGACTTTTCCAAAGTCCAAATTATGACTTTGGCCAGTCAGAATAGTTTGCTTTATTTTGGTTGTAATTACGTAGTAATGTTTTCATGAAAAAGGCTTAGAAATGAAAAAAAAAAATTATGTTTTGGCAAGTTACAACTCCTGAGATCCTCAGTTTCCCAATCTAAAGATGAAAAGAAAGCATCAAATATACACATTCCCTTTGACTGGAAAGAGACCAAAGAGTGGATATGTTGACATAAATATATATCACTATATATTGTAGAATTAACCAAAACAACTGCTAGAAACTACATTGAGAATGATGGTGCTAAACTAATAGCAATTTATAACTAAAAAACAACAGCAGTTAAAACCATGAAAGCCTCAAAATGTACTGTCTTCCTAAAAATTTTGGAATTCCCAAAGTTCATGTGGTTAGTGGGAACTTTGATATGTTGTTAAATGTTGCCAAGATTTAGCAGTAGATTAATGAAATAGGTTCTTCAGTAAACTCTTGCAACGTGAAACTTTTTGTAACAATTCATAACTCAGCAGTCACAAGTAAGAAGCTTTCAGTTCTTATAAGTGAAAATTCATGGTTTGCAGTAAGTGAACTCACAGATCACCTGACCCTCTTCACCAAAATGTGTCTTTAGCTCCCTTGATTTGAAAATGCAGTGTGTAAAAATGAATCGTAAAGGCTTCCTAGGGACTTAGAATTGCTACAGTGCACCATAAGTTACAACCAGCTGGGGATAAACTCCTTTATGCTTTACCAATTTCTACCAAAGATCACAGAGTTAATTTGTGATTTTAGGGTTAGGCAGTTGCACACAAATATGATATTTACTTTGTCTTAGAGTTTGCTTATGATACGAGATATGTGTAAAATTGGGAAATTGTCAAAGGAGAACTAAAAAAAATGGGATGGTTGTTTTTTATAAAGTGGATTTTCATGGAACATTTTGGCAAAGGCCAGTTCAGACCACACACCTTCCAAACTTGAGTCTTGTTAAACTGCAAAGCCATGGATGGACCCAGTATAATTCAGAAGTTTCACAAGTCTCCTAAAATGACTTCTCACCTGAGCCAGGCATTCAAGTGCAGGCCACTTTGTATTGTTTCACAGCAGGATCTTGCATTCTTTGAGTGATGTTGCCGTTTGTTGGAGTTCCCAGCAGGGCAGCTCTTCCACCCAGTTGCAACCAATTTCACTGATCAGTAGTTCCTGGTTAGCTTCACCCTATATATTCAATAATTCATTTGGCAGGTGCAAAGTAGACAAATCTTTAAGAAAACTCAAGATTTTAGGAGAATCAGAAAAAGACTCACTGATTATTTGTTTCTTGATTCTGACATTTAATTTGGATATTGAGGAGGATTTACTAGTCTCAAAGTGTTTATACTACAGAGATTTTTATTACTTAATTTTTATTCTTCTTTTAAAAAAAAACTTCATCCCTGTTGTCTATTTAATGCCTTGGATATCAATAGGTTGTTCAGATCTGCCCAGTCATTGGACTGTAGATTTAGATTTACGAAACATGGAAACAGGGAGTATTTGCTTGCAGAAACCTCTGCCCCAATATGCCCAACATTGTCTGGGTTTATTTCTTAGTTCTGCTACTAATAAGTGGGGTAAACTTGAGGGAGGTAGATAAACCTCTCTGTACTTCATCAATAACCTGGGGTACTAATAATATCACCCTTGTACTTCAGGAGACTAATGATACTAAAGTCATTTAATTAATTAATATATGTATAAAATACCTTAAAGCAGTAGTAAGCATATAGTAGGCACTTAGTGAGTGTTAACTCATTATAATTATTATACTCACTTTTGAATAAATATGTATCTATCATTTGGTAATTGCTTTCCTATGTGACCACAAATTGCTGTTTCTGTTTTATTTTTAACATATATTTTTCTTAAATAGGTAATACATTTTAAAAAGGTAAAATGCTAAAGGATATATAGTGAAAAGTAAGTTTCTTGTCCTCACAGTGCCCCAATTGCTATTTCAACCAGTGATGTTTTATGCTAACATCTATTTATTTAAGCTTTCATTTGAAGCATTAAAAGAACATGGTGAACACAAAATGAAGGATGTTATTCAAAAGGAAATACATTTTTATCTCATTTTTGTTGTTTATAATGATAGTAATAATAATAGAGTAATCTTGAAAAAAAACTGTTTTTGATAGGGTACTTGTTATGTAGCAGGCATTCTGCTACTACTGTGCTTAATGCATTATGTCATTCAGTAATCACAATTTTGTGAGATAGGTGCTATTATTAACTCAATTTTATAGATAATATCTTAAGCATAGCCAACTGGGATTAAACATTATGCTTTTAAAATTTAAGTTGTTTAAGTTGCCAGAGAGTAGAGAAATCCAAATACATTGTGTTTCTTTGAAAGGAATCTTATAGTCTACCTTTGTTTTCTATTCCCTTTTAAATACCACCCACTTTTTTTTTTATCAAGTTTATCTAATTTTTCTTGTGCTTTTGGTGCCAAATCTAAGAAATTATTGCCTAATCCAAAATCATGAGGATTTACTCCTGTGTTTTCTTCTGAGTTTTTGTTTGTTTGTTTTGTTTTTTTATTAGTTATCTATTTTATACATATTAGTGTATATATGTCAATCCCAATCTCCCAGTTCATCCCACCACCACCCCCTTGCCCACTTTCCTCCCTTGGTGTCCATATGTTTGTTCTCAGTATCTGCATCTCTATTTCTGCCTTGCAAACCAGTTCATCTGTACCATTTTTCTAGATTCCATATATATGCGTTTATATATGATACTTGTTCTTCTCTTTCTGACTTACTTCACTCTGTATGAGTCTCTAGGTCCATCCATGTCTCTACAAATGACCCAATTTAGTTCCTTTTTATGGCTGAGTAATATTCCATTGTATACATGTACCACATCTTCTTTATCCATTTGTCTGTTGAGGGGCATTTAGGTTGCTTCCATGTCCTGGCTATTGTAAATAGTGCTGCAATGAATATTGGGGTGCAAGTGTCTTTTTGATTTATGGTTTTCTCAGGGTATATGCCCAGTAGTGGGACTGCTGGGTCATATGGTAGTTCTATTTTTAGTTTTTTAAGGAACCTCCATACTGTTCTCCATAGTGGCTGTATCAATATACATTCCCACCAACAGTGCAAGAGGGTTCCCTTTTCTCCACACCCTCTCCAGCATTTGTTGTTTGTAGATTTTCTGATGATGCCCATTCTAACTGGTGTGAGGTGGTACCTCATTGTAGTTTTGATTTGCATTTTTCTAATAATTGTTGATGCTGAGCAGATTTTCATGTGCATCTTGGAATACCACCTACTTTTGACGGAGGAAATAACCCCAATCTAGACTCCTTGTCCAGTCTCCAATTCATTTTACATTGTCAATAGTTTGTACATTCCAAAACTCCAATGTTATGAAGTCTCTTGTTTGCTCAGAAGACCTAACTCCCCTCTGCTGAGATATTTACAAACCACTTATCCTGACTCCCAAGGTCTTGATTTGCCTACATCTTAACTAGCAACTTTATTTCCCATAATGCACCTACTTTGGCTTAATTAATAAAGGTTACTTAAAAATTTCCTTATCACACAGCTAAAAAATACTAAAACAATTCTCTTTAGGATGTGGAATGATGAAATTCAATCTTTCGGTTTGGATAATTTGGATAGTGTAAAACAAAGTTTTCTCGCATCTACATTCATTTTTTAATTAGGAGATATTGATGAATTACTGCTTGAGGATTGGGAATATAAGCAAGCACACATTCTGATTAGACTTTTCCTGGGAGCCAGAGCTGTACCATGACTGTATTCCTCGTCAGGCTGATCAACTCTTGGTGTTCAAGTTTAAAATGTGTAATAGTCCGGTGTGGCCTTGGGTGCTAGGGTCTGATTTGAAGATAGTTTACTCTGTAGTGTGGAGAATGGAAACCATCACTGAAGAGCCCATTTTAGAATTCAGAGACACACCTGCTACCAGAGGAATTTTACATAGAGGCCTACTTAAGGGAAAACACATTGCTGATAATTTTTTTCTGTTGTGATTTTTGGCAAGGAATATTTCACATTTTTTGGAAGCACAGATCATCTGGTCAGGTGAATAATTTCCTCTCCAGTAAATCAATAGTGCCTTGTATGAAAACATAAAAGTCTCATCCATCCCTTTTAAATAAGAATGTTTTGAGATCCCCAAAGGCTGGAATTATGTTTCAGTCATCACTTTATTCCCCTTGCTAAGTGCCTTTCCTGGCACCAAGGAAATGTATTTTGAGTAAATGAATGTGTTCATGCATTGTCTGTCTGTAAAGGGGGCTTTGGATATCAATCTCTTGGAGATGAGTCTACGAGGATTGCTGCAAATTCCCTGGCACTAGAGAATTCTATGATGTAAAAAGAATTTCTGGCTCCTTAACAAAGCCCAGGGATTTATAGGACTAGATAAAATTGCTTCCAAGGCATGCTGGTGATGTACATGTGTTGCACATAAAGTATCTTATTTGAGTCCCAAATGCTCACTACTATATCATGGAACAGTGCCCAGAAGTGTACTTCTGAGCAGAGGCAGACAATGTACACTGTGTTTACTTTGATCTGTGGTGTCAGTGAATCATTTTGTTTTGACCTCTCAATGATTGATCTCAACAGAGAAACAGATCTTTAAAGGAACGTCATAGACCTTAAATAGAATTTTTTATTTGTTTTCTTAAGGGTAGGCTTGGGAATTCAGAAATGTGGAGGAAAGAAGGGCAGATGGTTAGTGTTGAAAGTTCAAAGGAGTTTAAGGAAGAAATTAGTAGAACAGGGCAAAATAATGAAACAAGAGAAATTGTGTTCAGCCCATGTTCCAGAGCTTCTCTTTTTGTTTCCTATCAGATGCAATGGTGCCCTTTTAGTTCCCTTGGTATCCAGGGAACTAATTTTCCCTCTATTTTTCTATTAAATCTTGCTCTTGGGAACAGCAAAATAGCTCTATGTTAGAGTAATGATAATCTACTTCCTCTCCAAAAATACTTTCATGTTAATGGGAGAGAAACTTTGGATTAAACAAGGAATAAATTGCTCCATATGGTTTTAGACAACAGTGAAGTAGGTGGAGGAGATATTTTAAGGTACATGAAAAGAGACTTACCCAGGCCCTCCTGAAATGATGTACCATAGACAACTCTAGCAGTAATGTTGCTCCCCCCTTAGAAACCAACAGCTGCCTTCCAGAATTGCCCTTGACTCCTAAGAGTTGGAAGCAATTCAAATTTGTTCATGGGATTTTCCCTAATCTGCACTGTGAAGACTGTCCAAAATAGTTGCTTTCTCTGAATTCAGATACTTCCATAACGTAGCAAAAGTTTAATAATTTTTATAGTATAAACTTGAAAAAATTATTTCCTTTTCTTTTCAATTTTATTTTATTTATATTTTTATACGGCAGGTTCTTATTAGTCATCCATTTTATACACATCAGTGTATACATGTCAATCCCAATCTCCCAATTCATCACACTGCCACCCACACCCCCTGTCGCTTTCCCCCCTTGGTGTCCATATGTTTGTTCTCTACATCTCTGTCTCAATTTCTGCCCTGCAAACCGGTTCATATGTACCATTTTTCTGGGTTACACATATACATGTTAATATACGATATTTGTTTTTCTCTTTCTGACTTACTTCACTCTGTATGACACACTCTAAATCCATGCATGTCTCTACAAATGACCCAATTTAGTTCCTTTTTATGGCTGAGTAATATTCCATTGTATATATGTACCACATCTTCTATATCCATTCATCTGTATATGGGCATTTAGGTTGCTTCAATGAACATTGTGCTGTAATGAACATTGGGGTGCATGTGTCTTTTTGAATTATGGTTTTCTCTGGGAATATGCCCAGTAGTGGGATTGCTGGGTCATATGGTAATTCTATTTTTAGTTTTTTAAGGAACCTCCATACTGTTCTCCATAGTGGCTGCATCAATTTACATTCCCACCAACAGTGCAAGAGGGTTCCCTTTTCTCCACACCCTCTCCAGCATTTGTTGTTTGTAGATTTTCTGATGATGCCCATTGTAACTGGTGTGAGGTGATACCTCACTGTAGTTTTGATTTGCATTCCTCTAATAATTAGTGAAGTTGAGCAGCTTTCCGTGTGCTTCTTGGCCATCTGTATGTCTTCTTTGGAGAAATGTCTATTTATGTCTTCTGCCCATTTTTGGATTGGG